AATAAGTCCAAAGTCACAATGATCTCAAGGCCAACAACATCACTGATCTGGGTAATGGGATTGCTGTAACTAGTAACTATGAATAATGCACAATGAATACTGGAAAATTTACCAGACAAGTGTTCTTACATATTGGCAAAATTCAGTATTAGTGTATGTTACACTTATTAGGAAGGCATAAAAATATAAGAAGTCACAAAGAATATAGCTTACTAGAGATTTTAGTATACACCCAAAATTGTAAAAATTAAAAATCACTATTTTCAACTTTTCCCTTTTATTAATCACTGGCTGAAACATCATCTAAACACCAAAGAATGGAAGCAACTAAAATTGTATCTAGAAAAGTATCTTTGTTGGTGTTAGTGTTATTTTTCTAAATCCACATTCTACTAAATCTGGCAAGAAAGACAGGTCTACTGATCAATATGTTTAACCTCATGCTGTTCCCTAAATTGTCCTTTCTCCATTCCTTAAGGCAAGTTCCATATGAATTTAAAATGCTTTTTTTTTTTTGGATTAAAACATCAACAGGGGTCTCAGTTCCTGCTGGCTGAAATACATCATAATTGCTGTATTTGATATCTAAACAATAAAATCTGACCATAGCATGCCACTACTGTCAAAACTGAAGGTTGTTTAAAGTAGGGGTAAAATGTACCAGAATAGATGAAAGGGAAAAGAAAACATTTTTTTAATGAAAGAAGAAGAAAAAAACTTAAGACAATTCTGCTTTTCTAGTGCATTCACTCAGCTGTAACACCTCATGTCAAGAAGTCAAGTTTAAAATGCTTTCTTTCCACTCCTTTGCCACCATTACCTAAGTACTCACAAGCGTTTTCCTTTTTTCAGCAATACTGTATAATTTTAAAAGATCTCAAAGAGCATATAAGTGATCTTTCTGTAACATTCAGAGAAGTTAAATCAGTCTCAGTTTGGAAAAGATGGCAAAGGCTTCTGGAAAGGATGCAAAGAATTTAAAAAAAAAAGCAGTAAAGGCCCTCCCAGGTGGCGCAGCGGGTTAAAGCACTGCACTGAGAAACTAAAGCCACTTCCGCATGAGTTCGATACCCGCCTGCCCTGGAGGTGACCACATGGCGCGGCAGACCTCTCCTGACCCGCCCGCTGCTCCCCTCAGCAGTGTACTTCGTCGATCTGCCTGTTCTGCTTCCCCTCTGTCTCTGGTGAATCCTCTCACCCTCCGCATCTCTGGTCTGTACCCCAGTTCTGTACGAATAAATAAATAAATCTTAAAAAAAAAGCAGTAAAAATAAGCAACATAAATCTTAGCAGCAAATACCTACTGAATTAAAAGTAAGTATTCACCGAACACAGTAACATAAAATTAAGATCAATGGGCAATCCAAATTATTTCCAAGAAACATTCCTCCATCTAAGGAAAAATAGGAACATGAATTTCAGTTACTTCTTTAAAATTCTTTCCCAATTCTACTGATAAGTAGCCATTATTATTTCCAACAATCACTTTTTAAATAAATTGATTTTATATAAACATATTTCTTTGAATATATAGAAGATAAAGCAAAATGTATTGTTTACCTATGGTGAAAATTCCATAAGAAGGTAAGAAGGTAAGAAGCTTCTAACAGATTATAAACACAAGGTTCAAAGTCCTTGAATTTTTACCATAATGAAGTATGAGTTTTAACATAAGGTTTGAAATTTCAACACAGACATTGAGATATAGGTAGACCTTTTCCATCATACTTCTCAAACTAATATAGCACAGCAGCAGATCTGGATGCCAATAGGGCATCAATGCCATATGAACCTCATTTCCTAGAGATACAAAAGAAGGATCTGGAGGACATGCTACATGCCCAAATGCCCCCCCATACCCCCCTCCCCCCCCCCAGGCACAGCAGGTTAATGCAGCACTAAGAAGCTAAAGCCACTTCCACATGAGTTCGATGCCCCACCCCAGGAGGTGACCACATGGCCACATGGCACAGCAGACCTTTCCTGACCCACCCACTACTCCCCTCAGTAGTGTGCTTCATTGATCTGCCTGTTCTGCTCCCCACACTGTCTCGGTGAAGCCTCTCACTTCCCCTGCACCTCTGGCCTGTAGTCCAGTTCTGTATGTCCTATATATATATACATGTATGTATACATACATACATATATATACATACATACATATATACATACATACATACATATATATACATACATATACATACATACATATATATACATACATATATATATATATATATCATGTGCTACCAGAGTTAAGGAAATCATAAATAAAAACAAGGGCAACTAAATAACAATATCAACTCCTTAAGAAAACAGTGGGAGGGAAAAGAAGGGTTAGAATGGTCTAAGCAGAATTAAAATGTTCAAAGACAAAACCCTTTTGTTGAATGATAAGGAGCTCAGACTTTCTAAGGAGTCTGGGAGGGAGGAAAAGGGAAGAACAGAAAATGGAAGCAAGGTAAAGCTGGGTCAGGAAAAGCACAGTTTGTGTGCCAAGTCATTAAATTCAGACGTAATTGCAAATGGTGAGAAAAGAGGATTTGATATAAAGGCAATGATAGAAGGTAATATATACAATAAAATCTATTGTAGAAGTAACTCTGGTAACCAATGAGGAAAATGTGAACACTTTAATAAATAAAAAAAAGAAAATCTGACAGAGCCTGATAACTGGATCATTAAGGGCAGAGGTAGAAAATATAGGAGAGTCCTCCTACCTCACAAAGGTGGCAATACCATTACATGAGATATAAAATGCTAGGAGAGAAACAGATCTAGATAATAGGGCAAGTCCAGCTTTTAAAATTCAATGATGGGGCCCTCCCTTACGGCGGTGTGGGTTAAAGCACAGCACTGCAAGCTAGCCACAGCTGCTTCAGTGCCGAGTTCAACACCCAGCCCTGGAGGTGATCCACATGGCGCAGCAGATCTCTCCTGACTCACCCACTGCTCCCCTCAGGAGTGTACTTTGTCGATTTCCCTGTTCTGCTCCCTACTCTGTCACTGGTGAACCCTCTCACCACCCCTGCGCCTCTGGCTTATACCCCAATTCTGTATGGATAAATAAATCTTTAAAAGAAAAAGAAAAGACTA